TGACCTGAACCAGTGCAAGGTAGGGGGACATGACAGTGACCCTCTTCATGTCCCCTGCTTGAGCTGAGCATCATAGGAGAGGGGATGCAGCACCTCTGGACTGACAGCAGCCTGAGGCTGCACAAGAGACATGGGCACTGTGGGGTGGTACAAAGCCCCATGGGAGAGCCCAGGCACCAGCTGGGACACAGCAGCTGCTGGTGGTGGCTGTGCTCAGGGAGCTGCTGGCACGTGGCACCACTGGCACCACACACTACCCCAGTGCCCGGGGTGAGCACATGCCCCATTAGCATGTTACAGCCTCGCTGTGCTGTGCATTAACCACCACACAATTCCTTGTATTTTCCATTTACATGTATTTATCTTGTGGAGCCCCAGATGTGCCCAGGGGGTGTACAGCTCACACCAACAGCCTCCACCCTGCCTCGCGGCAGGGCTTCTTGCTGCCAAGGCATGGGACACGACCTTGGCAAGGCTGTGGGAGTGGTGCTGTCAGTAAAGCCTGTGCTGTGCCCTGCAGCCCCAGCCCAGACTGGGCAGGGAGGCCGAGAAGCCAGGACTGCAGGCCAGAACCAAGCCCCCCCATCTCACAGCCCTCCTGTGTGCAGAGCCACCACCCACCCAGCAGCTCCACAGTCCAGTCTGAAGCACATCTCCCTTGGGAGCGGTGACCCTCGGGGGCTTCAGGCAGGCAGGGGCAGCCCCACAGAGCCCACGGCCGTGGCAGGCAGTGCCTACATCCCCTGGTAGGCACCCTGCGGAGGGATGAGCCCAGCAGCCACAATACGCTTTTCACTTATTAGGAAGTTGAAGGTTGCACATGCATTTGGCTGTGAATAGAAAAGGGAGTGAGTGAAGCTCCAGCGCTCAGGAAGGAGACACAGCTCTTCCCCACAGGGCACACGACTCCTGTCCCCAGGAGAGTCTCCCAGTGACCACTGCCCTCCCCTTCAGTGGGGTGCTGCCTGTGCTCACCCCTCCTTACCGTGTCCTGTACCTCCACAGCAATCCCGCACTCCCGCATCTGCTTCAGCATGCCAGAGTGGAGCCGCTCCACTCTGTCCCCTGTGCCCAGCACCAGGATCTCTGCAACCAGGACACGACAAGGGTGGGCAGGGTGGCACTGGGGCTGCCTCGGCCCAGAGCTGCCCTCCCTGCAGGGACCACCAGCCCTGACAGGAGTCCAGACAGGGGACAGCCCGCGCCCCTCCTGCCCCACGTACCGATGTGGGGCTCCAGCAGCCGGAACAGCGACAGGCTCTCGTGCGAGATGTCCCGGTGGGAGCCAACCTGCGAGGACAGGACCGTTGCTGAGCGGGGCCGCCCCGGTACGGTGCGAGCACCGGCCCCGCCGCCGGGCACTCACGTTCCACTGGAGGATGCTGCGGGGCAGGACGGCACAGGGCCCCACCACCACGTCCCCGCTGATGGTGAAGCCGCGGTTGCTGTAGCCCTCGATGAACATGATGTTGGGGGACTCCGGCTCCAGCACCGTCACCCGCGTCCGCTGGTACATCTCGTCGTCCGCCGGCGTGAGCCGGTGACCGCGGCACGGCGCCCTGCGGGGACAGGGAGCAGCTGGGACACGCGGGGCCTACGGATACCCCAAGGGCACCCCACGGGACTCCACCGGTACCGCCGCCGGGCGCGGGGCAGCCGCGGGGCCCGGTGCCGGTACCTGCCCGGCGCCCGCCGCGCCACCGGCCCGAGCAGCCGCAGCACCGCCGCCGCCATCGCCGGAACCGCCGCGCGGCCCCGCCCCTGCCCCCACCGCCCCCCGGCGGCCGGGGCCGGGACTGCGGCAGCGGGGGAGCGGGGTCGGACCGGGGCTCGCGGGGTTCCCCCCCGGGGTCCTTCCCGGCCCGCGGGGCCGGCGGGGCGGGGGGCAGCGACACTCACACACCTGCCGGCCCCGGACCCGGGCGCGCCCCGACCCGCAGCCCCGGGTGGGCGCCGGAGCGAAACCGAAAGCGGCAGCGGGGCAGGAGCGGCACGGCGGGTGCGGGGCGGGAGGGGCCGCGGACCGGCCCGGGCTGCTGCGCCGAAGGCTGCGGGGCCGGAGGTGAGAGGGGAGCGGGCGGCTCCCCGGGCGGCGGGAGGGAGCGGCACCGGGGCTCGGCTGCGCTCCCGGCCCGGCCCCGCCGGTGCCCCGGGGCTGCTCCAGGCTCGGCACGGCGCCCCGGCCCCGCTGTGTGCCCCACTGTGGGCGGCCGCTGCCAGTCGGGGCTGGACCCCCGAGCCGCCACCGGGACCTCCCGGTGCCGCTTGGTGCTATCCACTTGGTGGGGCCGATGGCACTGCGGGCTCGGGGGTGCCTTGGGGCGGGGGACCCACGTCCCTCACCTCTGTCACCCACCCGGGACTAGCCAAGCCTGACACTCCGGGGGTCACCGGGAGGCTTCCCGGCAGCGTCGGCGGGGCATTTCCCACCGCCGTGCCGTGCTGGAGGCGTCAGGAGTCCCCACACCCTTGGCTAGGGCAGGATCCCAGGAACCCCCGGGCGGTACCGCGTGAGCTCCGCGTGGGGCCGGTGGGGTTCCCCACGCGGTTTCACTTCCCCCCATGGCGGGTGCCGAGGGCTCCTCGTCGGGGCCGTGCCGGCGCTTCGCCGGTGCCGCCGCCGGGCGCAGGTGCCGGGGCAGGTGCCGTCCCTCGGGGACAGCTCGTGTTTCCGGGCCCCGTCGGGGGCTGCCGGGCTGGCACCAGTTGCTCCAGCCCCACCGGGGCTTTGTTCGGAGCCGTTTCCTTTTGGCTCGGCCGTGCCGCCCTCCCCTTGGCACCCGGCCCGCGGCGCGGGGGGAGCCGGCACCCCCGGCCACAACGGCCCGGCGGCGACTCCTCGCAGCTCCTCCGCCCCGGTCCCCGCCGGTAAGTCGCCCTCTCCCCACTTTATCCCACCGACGGCCCGAGGGTCGGGGTGGCGTGGCGGTGGTGCCCCTGCCCATCTCCCTCCGCGGCGCCGGCGCGGGCAACGGAATCCCAAAAGCAGCTGTCCCCGCTGTGCCCAGCTGCCCTGGGGTTTCGTTACCCGCGCTCCCGCCCCCACCTCACCTGCCTCCCACCCCTGCCTGCCGGGCCGGGCACTTGGGTAAGAGCCGCTGTCCCACTCCAACCCCTCCTGGGGCTGGGGCAGCGCGTGGAGCCGCATTGGGAGAAGGGGGCTGGTGTCGGGATGGGGGATCACTGGTGCCCAGCCTCGAGGCTCAGCCCCCTGCACTAGGCTGGAGGCTCTCCAGTGGTCTTGTGCCCCCAACAGCTAAAAATAGCAGCTGGCTTCCTGGGGACTCTCCACCGGAGGAGCGTGGCTGTTGGCCGCAGGGTGGATGTGGGCACCTGCGCCGGGCGTGGTGCGGGCTGTGAGACGCTGCCAAGCTTCCTGCCTGCGCCAGCTCTCCCTGGCACCCCCACAGCCCCCCAGTGCCAGCAGGTGCGGGCAGGATCTGTCCCCCGGAGAGAGTCAGCTTTGGAATGACACGATCACTCCCGCTGAGCGGGCAGCCAGAGAGCCATCGGGGATGTCGTGTCTGTCCAAAGCTCTTTCAGCACCTCCGAGAGCCCTCCCCAGGCTGCCGCGCTGCCAGGGCCCACGTGGGCTGCCTGCGGGGACACTCTGGGCATGGGGATGGATCCAGCCTGGACCTTACCGTGAGTAGTGACACAAAGTCCAGCACATCCCCCCAGCCAGCTGGACAGGGGGCCCAGGTGGCTCCTGCCCTGCAGACAGTCAGCAGTTGGTCTGGTGTGAGCAGCGATTCTCAGATCACCTCTTGGCTGTGGGTGGTGCAGGGAGCACCCCACCATGGCATGGCCCTGCGCTGCCGGGGGACGCAGCCACCCCTGAGCTGGGGGACGTGTCCCTACTCCTGCCCTGGGGCTCACTGGCTGCGGGGCCAGTGCTGCCTGCAGGGCCCCAGAATGAGTTACTGCGTTCCTGGCAGAGCCCATGCAGCAGGATCTGCCCTCACCCTGCTCCCCCCCCCCTTCCCCCTTGCACACAAGCCCTGGAGGAACCGGTTTGGGCCCTGTGGGCAGAGCCCCCCCGCCCCGGCCTCACGGGGAGGGCAGGAAGGGCAGGGCAGGGAGGGAGGTCCCCAGCTCCTGGGATGCGTGCTGTGTTGTGCTGTGTTGTGCCAGGGTTCAGCACTTCCTGGATCCCTGCTCCCCACCAGCCAGGCTCGGTGCCAAGAGGCTGGGGGTGCACTGGGCCCTTGCCCTGTCCCCAGTTCAGCAGCCCCCACCGTGCAGTTTGGGGAGCTGGGCAGCACCGTGAGTCCTGCACTGCCAGATCTGTGGTTGAACGACTGCTGCCATGGAGCCCCTTAGCTCTGCAGATGTAATCAAGACCACGAGGTTGCAATATAATCGATATAATCGCTGCCACCTCCTTCCTCCTGGGGCTGATAAGCAGGACACTGCTCCTGTGCTGGGTGGGAGAGCAGCTCCTCATGCCTGTCCTTCCTGCTGGGGAGGCTTGGGGACATGACAGAGCCCACTGTGGTGACACGCTGCACCTGGCAGGTGCTGCTGGTGCTGCTCGGCCACCGTGTCACAGCCCAGCCAAGCCCTGGGGCCTGTGGTGAGCCATGGTCTGCCAGGGACACAGTGCCCACGGATGGAGTCTGCCAAACACCCTCCAGCCCATCCAAACCCCCGCCTTGCCCGTCACTGTCCAGGCTGCCAGACCCTCTCCCAGGGCCCCTCACTGTCCTCAGGAGCCCGGGGACAGCCAAGGGACAACCTGAACCTGTCCGATCTCCACATGGCCTCTGGCTCCTGCTCCCTCTGGGTTCCTGTGAGTTTCAGTTCCCACGCCCCACTGTTTGGGACCAGGGGCTGCTCCAGCCTGGAGAGAAGGGGGCACCACTCCCTCCTCAGCACCTGAGGGTGGCACCATGGCCGTGCTGGGGTGAGGCTGTGTGGGGCAGAGACCCCCGCGCCATGTGGGGCGCAGCAGTACCCGGGTGCAGCGCTCCCTCCGGCCCTGTCCGGCATGGCCCCGGCTCGCCACTCCCATCATGGCGGCCGCCGCCCCTCGCCACACTGGTCATGGCGGCCCCACACCCGCTCCCCCAACATGGCCGCCTCGCCCGTCCATCCTGCCCGTGACCAACATGGCCGCCCGGGAACGCCGCGCCCAACATGGCGGCCGCCAGAGGGAACTGAGAGGGCGAGGGGTGGTGATGTCACTTCCAGTCCGCCGCGGCGGGAGTGCCGGCCGGGCCCCCATGGAAGCGGGCGAGCGTCGGCCGGGAGTGGCGGCAACCCTGCGGGCGCTGAACGAGGCGCTGGGGCGGCCCGGCGCGCTCTGGGTGAAGGAGAGCGGCGCCCGCAACCTGCGGCACCGGGACTTCCTGGCGCCGCGGGCCGCGCTGGGCGCCGCCTTTCCCGGTGGACAGGTAGGCCCGGCGGGGCGGCGGGGAGGGGGCGGGGCCTGCGAGCGGTGGGCGGTGGGATTTTGGGACTGGGGGGCGTGGCCTGCGCGAAGGGGCGGGGCTTGGGAGCCGGGGCGGGGCCGCCCCCACACGCCCCGCCCGCGCCGACCCCGCCCCGCCCGCAGGTGCCCCCCGAGGCCGTGTCGGCGGTGCCGTCGCTGCGGGGCCCCGCGGTGCTGCCGCTGCGGGGCTGCCGGGACACGCCGGCGGGGCTGGCGGTACAGGTGCGGCGCCCTGAGGCCTTCCAGCGCCTGCTGGGCCCCCTGCCCGGCCCAGCCCTCCCCGCGGCGGGGGCGCGGGAGGGCCCCGTGGTGCTGCATTGCCCGGCCCTGCGCGGCCCCGCCGCTCTGCGGCCGCGCCACCTCCGCCCGGTCCTGCTCGCCGACCACCTGGCACAGCTGCTGCGCGCCCAGGGGTGAGTGAGCGTCCCCGTCCCGCCCTGCCCGCGCCCCTCGCCCGCCGCTGCCAGCGCCTCCCTCGCCCTCTCCTGCAGGGTCGGCGTGCGCCTGGTCCCTGCCCTCGCCCGGGAGGGCAGCTCGGAGGTCCTGCGACAGCTCCTTATCGACTGGCCCTCTGGCTCCGGTGGTTCATCCTTCCCTGAGGCTGTCTCGGCCTTGAAGGCAGCGCTAGGCCGGGCTCCCTGTAACACAGCCTGTGAGCAGGGGCCGGGCACGGCCACGCTGCCCGAGGGTGTCATCGGTAAAGTGCACCTGAAGAGCTTCGTGGAGCAGCAGGGCTTGGTGGGCTATGACCCCAACCTGGATGTGCTTCTCGGTGAGCTTCACATGTAGAGCAGCTCAGGTGTGGCAATGGGGCAATGGGGGTTTGAGCCTGGGGCAGACCCAATGGTGTGGGATGGCAGGGGATGGCAAACCCTTGTCTCCCAATCTGTGTCTCTCCATCTTTCAGTGACAGAGGGGATGCTGAGGTCCCTGGCTGAGCTGCAGCAAGCTGTTCAGCAGTGCCTGGTGAGTGACCCTGTGGCACTGCCTGCCTCTCGCTTCCCAGGTGTTGTTCCCTTCTGCCAGGCAATATCATTTGAACTCCCTGCTGTGCTCTGTTGCAGGCTGAGGGCCAGAGTAGCTGCTGCAGCATCATACATGTGGTGAACTGTGAGGAGGAATTCCAGCAGCAGCAGCTGGATCTGCTCTGGAGAATTTTGGACCCGGGAGCCCACACAGCTTTGCAGGTGAGCAACCTCTGACCCTCCTCACTGTGGCCCCTGGTATCTCTGTGCTCCAGACTAGGTTTACAGCAGGGCTGGATTTCACCCAGTTCTCCTGCAGTGCATTTTGGTGGAGCTTCTGAATCTCTGACAGCCTCTCCTCTGTCTTTCAGAAACACCTTGTCTGTGGGCCAGTGAAGGTGACCAATCCCTCATCACCCATCAGGGCAGACCAGTACTTCCAGTGAGTTGGTGTGCAAGGCACCTGTTGCTCCCTTGCTTGCCAAGGCTCCCTGTGCTCTGCCCGGCCCCGTGGGCACCCAGGCACCCAGTCATGGCTGAGTGAGCTGCTGGCACACAGAGAGCTCTGTGCACTCCCTCCATCCTGCTTTCCATGGCCACAGGGCTGTTTCAGGAGAACTGGAGGTACCTTCTCCAGCAGTGCTGCTTCTGCCTCTCTCCATGCTGCTAAGAGGAAAGGCAGTGGCAGAAGCTGGGTGGTTCCTAAAAGCCCTCTCCAGGCAGCAGCCCAGGGGCCTGCTGGAGTGTGGTTGGCTCTGCTCTGCTCCTGGGGCTTTTGTGCTTCTTTTGCTTAGCTGAGTCACTGCTGCAGCTGGGATGCCCTGAGCAGCCTGAAGGCTGGTAGAGCCCTGGGGTCCTCTCTGGGATCAGCTCAGTCCAGAGGGGTTGGCTCTGAGTGTCTGTGTTTCTCCCAGGCTCCGAAAGCGCCAGATGTACGAAGCCTCAGTAATGAAGTATGGGGAGCTTGCACAAGGTGAGGGTTTGTTCTGTGGCTCCACACACAGGTGCAGCTCCATCCCATCTCCATGGCTCCCATGAGTCTCCCCCTCACCTCTGAATTCACAACCAGTCAGGGTTCTCCCCTCCAGGATGGAGCCAGGTGCTGACCTTGCCTGGGGAAGGTACCTAAACACACAGGGTACTGGCACAGAGCAGCATGTGCTGAGGGGGGATGGGGCTGGGGAAGAGTGGTGGTCGCCAGCTTCCAGGAGCACCTGGCTCCAGGTGGGGTGTCCTGCCTAGGGGTGTCAGTACATGGGAATGGAGTCAACTGATGCCACCTGCATTTTCCAGATGAGGCCTGGAGGGAGGTGATTGATACCCTGACAGCAGCTGCCATCAGGTTTGAGATGCTGAGCACTGCTCAGCGGAGCCAGGTAGGACAGCGGCGTGCAGGGAGCCAGGGCTGGCAGGCCTTGGGAACAGTGGAGTGGCTCTGCACTGAGCAGCCTGCACTGTGACTTGCCTGTGCCCTCAGATCACTGTGGACCTGGAGAACAGCAGCATCTCCACAAAGGGAACCAAGAGCGGCGCCTTTGTGATGTACAACTGTGCCCGCCTGGCCACGCTCTTCGACAGCTTCCAGCGGGCTGTGGAGCGGGGTGAGCACCAGCCCTGCCACCCTCCTCTAGCAGCCACTTCTGGAGCCACAGGGGCTTCTCCAGGCACAACAGTCTCCCTTCTTTCCAGGCACATACCCACCTCTGCCACCAGCGTCCGAACTGAACTTCTCCTGTCTTCGGGAAGAAGTGAGTGCTGAGAGGGGGAATGTGGGGACCTGCACACCCTCAGCTCCAGTGATGGATGCTACTGGCCCAGAAGGATCTGGCCCTAAAACACATTATCCCTTCACAGGGTGAATGGCTCCTGCTCTTCAACTATCTCTTGCCCTTTCCTGAAGTCCTGGAGCAGGCAGCACAGCTGCCCACACCCTCCAAGGGGATCCGGATCACAGCCAACACAGAGACAGTAAGTGCTACATGCCATAGCACCCATGGGTGCTGCTCCCACAGTCCCAGCCCCCGGCAAAGCTCCATGCCAGCAGGTGCTGCCCATCTGTGAGCAACACAGGGCTGGTGCTGAGGGAAGAGACTGCAACATCCCTGGGGCTGTTTCTGATGTGCTTGGGGTGGGGAAAGGCCCAAGACTAGCCAGAACCTGCTGTACCATCAGAATGTGTCTGCCTTGCAGGTATGCAAATTCCTGATCCAGCTCAGCATGGATTTCAGCTCCTACTACAACCGGGTGCATGTCCTGGGGGTGAGTTGGGTGTCCCAGCCTGCAGCCTGGGAGGCTGGACTGCAGCTGGGAGGCAGCAGGGTGGAGAGGCAGCAGTGCCTCTAGGGCCAGCCTGCTGAGGGGCAGTTTGGCCACCAACCCCAGTTGCTGCCTCTCTCCCCACAGGAGCCATTCCCTCATCTCTTTGACCAGATGTTTGCCCGCCTCCAGCTGCTGGGAGCAGTGAGGGATGTGTTCCACAGCGCGCTGGCGACTCTGCACCTCCCTCCTCTCAGCCAGATCTGAGCCACCCCTGAAGGAGCTGTGCGATGGTGTGACAGGCACCTGGACAATGTGCTGTTAGGGGAGGACAGGGCATGCTGTCCCCAGCAGGGTGAGGGGCTGCCCCAGCACCAGCCAGGAGACACCTGAGCAGGCACTTCCCCTCCCAGGGTCTGTGGTGTTTGGGGCTTAGCCACATGCTCCCTGAAGCTGTGCCCAGTGTGTAGGGAAAAGGGAGGGCTCCTGTGGCACCCCACAAACTGTGCTGGGAACACTGAGGGAGGCGGCACCAGGAACCAGTCACCACAAAACCAGGCACCAACATCACTTCCCTCAAAGCTGTTTATTGAAGGTTGCTCCGTGCTGGCAGGGAGCTCCTGAGGCTCCAGGCTCCTGTCCGGACCTGGCCCAAGCCCCAGTACTGGGGTCCAATACACTTGTTGCTGGACAAACACTGCATTTGTTTGACCTCAGAGCTGTTTGTTCTTCCCTTGCTCCAACTGTCCTGGGTCCTGCTGCTGCACAGGAACGACCTACTTGGCCTGACACAGTGCTGAAAGGCTGCTCTGAAGGTGGGGGGGCATGTGTGGGCACCCTACAGGGTGCTACAGCAGAGGATCAGTGTCCCTGTGCATTTCAGCACCATCCTCAGCACTGCAGGGTCAGGGCTGGCACACCAGGCTGCAGCTCACCAGTGCCTGACCCTTCTTGGCCTCCTGCTGCCCTCAAGCTCCCAGTGCTTGGCAGGGCTGTAAGCACACTCCTCAGCAGGTTCCTCTCTGAGACCAGGGCTGGAAAGCCTGGACATGGGTCCCTCACACCCTAGGGAGGAGGTTCTCCCGGGCAGGGGGAGCTGACAACCCCAGTTCTTTATTTCCTGGGGAGTCACAGGCCCCTCCAAGAGGGGTCACATCTGCCTTCTCCCCCGAGACCACTGGCCTTGAGCACCCCAGATGCAGCTGTGCTGCCCCTGAAGGAGCCAAACATGCCCATCCCTTCAGGAGGGGACACATCAGTGTGCAGGCTGGGGGCAAGGACTGCAGTGATGGGCAGAGCCCAAGTGCAGAGTGCCCTCCCAAGACAGGCAGGGACTGGGATGTGTTGCACACCTGCCCCATTCCTGGGGAGCCTCTAGTTGTGAGGGCTCGGAGGGGGCTGTGCCGCACAGCATCTCCAGGCCCTGCCCACAGAGCACACAGTAGTACCGCAGCTCCCCCCCGGCCTCCGCCACCTCCCAGCAGTCCAGCTCAGCCAGGTCAGGCACATGGAAGAAGGTGGTGCTGAGGGGGACCAGCCCCCCCAGGCCCCGGTGCCACAGTGTCAGGCGCTGATCCACTGAGGCCGAGAGCAGCAGGTCCGGCCGCAGCACCCGGATACCCGTGACGTGGGCAGCATGGGCACAGGGCCTGGACACCCGCTCCAGGATCTGCAGGCAGGTCCCTGCTGCGGCCTCGCTGCTGCCAAGGGCCACCTCCAGCAGGCAGATGTGGATGGAGCCATCATCACTGCCGCTGGCCACCAAGTACTGTCCCTCTGTCACCTTGCTGACGTGGAGGCTGTTCACACCGCAGCTGTGGGCCATGACGGTGAGCAGCGGGGTACCCAGGGCTGGGAAAAGAGGCTTGGTCAGGAGACTGATGCTTACCTTGGTCAGAGGAAGCAGAGGAGCCACCAGTGTGGCCACCCTCAGGAGGCAGAGCAGGGCTGCTGGCAGTGACACCCACCCAGGGGCTGCATCTCCCCCTCTGCTCGGTGCAGGGCATCTGTCGCGTCTGTGATGGGGTTGGTGATGTCCCAGAAGGCGATGCTGCCGTCAGTGGCTGCACTGCACAGGAGGTGCCTCCTAGAAGGGAAGTGTAGGGGGAGCCTCTGGCCACAGCCCTGAGGATCCCCACTAAGATCTGTGGAAATGGCAGAACAGCCTCCCTGACTTCCTCCCTTCCCTCCTCTCGCTGAGCTGCCATGCCTATGAGGAGAAATGCTTCTCTCCAGAGCCCAGCATTCGGGGCTCACCTCTCCCCTCCTGTCCCTGTGTGCAGAAACGCCTCCACCTTCAGCACACAGCGCTGGTGGTGAAATGACTCTGCCACCAGCACCAAATTCCGAGCAGCCTCCAGCAGCCCAAAGACCCTGCAATGGAGCAGAGGGCAGTTGGCTGTGGGAGGAGGGAGCTCCTGGTATCTCTGCCCCAATTCCCACCATGCACTGCCTTGTTCCCTGTGCAGAACAGGCCACACTCATGGCAGTGGCTTCCCATGTAGAGCCTGTTCTGCTTCCATCACGAGCCCCAGCTCTGTTCTCCCTGCCAGGTTGCACCATGGCTCCTCACCGGACTGATCCATCGCTGCAGGCAGCAGCCAGGAACTTCCAGGGTGTCAGCAGCTGCTTGGTGCTGGTGCCAGGTACAACAGAGAGGCACATGTACCTGTAGCAAAGATACAATGCTCACCAATGCCTTGGTGACACTTGTGGCCCTGGGGAGGTGAATGGCCCAGGAGAGCAGCCCAAGCCCAGTGCTGGATGCAGCTCTGAGCACTCGGAGAAGGCACAAGAAAAGAGTAGGCCTTTCCCTAGCCACAAGAGTCCCTCGAGACCAAGCCACAGGGCACCAGTAATGCACACCAGCCCAGTCTGCCTCAGCTGAGCCTGCTGCTGCACAGAGCAGTACCCCAGTGGAGGCCAGTGTGGTTCTCATCACCCTCCCAGATCATGATCACTACCTAACCATGCCTCAAGCAGTCCCTGAGCATCACCTCGTCTCCGGGTCCATCTTGACAAGCTTGTGCCTGTTCTTCTTCCGCTCCCAGTGCTCATCCAGCCGGTGGGAGGCCACATGGATGACCTGGCAGGCCACAGCGCTCTCCAGGCTCTCCACAGCACTCTCTGGGTCCCCAGCACACAGCAGCCGGTAGCACTCGATCTGCGCCCGGCCACCCGCAGAGAAGAGCAGGGCAGACAAGCCCTTCTCACCAAAGCCCTTGTCTCCAGGTCCCGTGGGGCTGGCCAGTGCCAGTGTCCTCACACTGGAAATGTGGTCACTGAGGCGAGCGAGGGGCACGGCTGCCCGAGAGCGCTCACTGAGTGCCAGGACACAGGCTGTGGTGTCCTCGCTGCCAGTGACCAGCACGTTAAGGGCAGCATGGCCAGGCAACTCCATGGCCCCCAGACGCCGTACACAGGTGATCTCCCGCCCGTGCAGGGATGCCAGCAGCACCTGCTGCTCGCAGGGCTCAGCCTCACAGCAGTACAGCATCACATCCCCAGACCTGATGAAGGCAAAGACCTCAGCCCAGGGGCTGCTGCAGTAGCTCCAGGAGCGGTGCCCACCCCCACAGGGGATGCAGTGGAGGTTCTCGCTAGTCCTGCTGCTCCACACCACAAAGTTGTCAGCGTGAAAGCCCAGCACGAGCAGGTCCCCGTCTGGGGTGAAGCGCAGCTCCTCGATCCACTGCAGCCCTTTGCAGGGCCTGTGCTTCCGCAGAACCTCCAGCTGCTGGTCCTGCAGGTGGAGCTGGCGGTAGACACCATCACGGCCAGTGCTGTAAATGTAGCCCTTGTGGCAGGTCACCGAGGTAACCCCTGTCTTCCCGTGGAGCCCAAAGAGCACGGACAACGGGGACTCAAGAGGAAGGACCCCTTTGTGTGACAAGCAAGACAGCTCCAACTCGCTGCTAGAGTCCTCACTGACTGAGTCGGTGACACCATTAGCAATGCCGGTGCTTTCTGCAGCCCGCCTCGAGGAGCTGCTGCAAGAGAAGAGGAGGAGGGAGCCCCGGCGGTCACCGCAGACCAGGAGCTCTCCCTGGGGCAGGAAGGCAGCGCAGGTGTGCCAGCGCTGCTTGCAGGGGGGCAGCAGGTACCGTCCCATGAGTCGCACGCAGGGTGCCTGCCCGGGGCGGTGCGCGACGTCCAGCCAGAGCATCTCCCCTTCGGGACCGGAGGCCAGGAGGGCGGCAGCGGTGGCGGAGGGCAGGCCGGGGCGGGGGGTCCAGCTCAGGCCGAGCACGGCCCCCTCGAACAGCCTGAGCGAGGCGGCGGTCCCGGGGCTGCTCAGGACGAAGAGGAGGAGGCGCCCGTCGCTGCCGGCCAGGGCGCAGAGCGCCTCGTCCCCGCCGGGCAGCGGGGCGGCCGCCAG